GGATCCACGGGTCTCTCATCCTCCTCCGGGGGCTAGCTCAGGCGAGTCTTCTTCATGGCTGCTAACATCCCATTGGTCAAAACAAGCCACACGGTCAAGCCCAGGGGTGAGGAATATTCTTTGCCCACAGCAGAGGGACATCACAAACTTACATGGAAAAGGGCGTGGATAAGGGGAGAGGTGGGGAACTGGAGCCACTGGTGCAATTGATGAGAATGACATCATGTCTGATGAAGCAGAGGGTCAGCGAGGGTGAGGGAGACCCTCAGTGAGATGGATTAGCACAACAGACACAACCATGGACTTGAACGTGGGGACCGGGCAACATTTCCTTCTGTTGTATGTAGGGTCGCCATGAGCTGGAGCTGACTCAGTTGCAGATAGCTATCTATGTCTATCTATCCTTCACATCCCTGGTGTCACTGAATTCTCACCCTCTAACAGATGAGGACATGGCAGCCCGAGAGGGAAAATGACTTGACCAAGGTTCTCACAAAACAAAACAACAGAGGGACAGACAGAGGGTGCAAACCCAGGTCTGCAGACTCCAAGCTCAGTGCTCTTCCCAGACAGCTGCCCTCGGCCAGGTCCTCAAAGACCCACGCTCTTCTCCACTGAAGCTTAGAGGGGACAGAAGACCCCCAACCTGGGTCCAGACCCGGGAACCCCCAGTTTCTGCTACCTGCAGATTCCTTGGGTGCAGGGTGGAGGCAGCAGGAGGTGGTGTCTGTGGGGATCCCCCCTCCTCATGCCAGGAGCTGCCTGGGGGCTGGACTGAAGTAACCAGCATAACCCCGGGCTGCCCTTGGAAGCTATCCACAAGGCCAGACAGCACGCAGGCCTATGGAGAGAAGCAGGCAGGCAGGCTCCCAGGGAGGGCTGTCCCTTACCCACAGCCTACCACCATTAGTCCTTCCACACCCCGGCTCACAAGCACCAATGCTCCAGTCTTCACTACTGTCTTTACCATGATCACCCTCATTCTCACCCATCTCCACTACTGTCCTCTCCATCTCTGCTCTGCTCCCACCCCCTGACTAGCTTCACTATCCCCATCAGATGGGTATCCCCCTGTAACATTACTACTTCTACCAATGTCACTATTCCCTCACTAGTATTACTATCTCCCCACCAGCATTACTATCTCCCCACCAGTACTATCTTCTCACCAACATTACTGTCTCCCTACCACCATTACTCACCCCAACCAGCATTAGTACTTCTACCAGCATTACTATCTCCCCACCAGTACTGCTGTCTTCTCACCAACATTACTGTCTCCCTACCGCCATTACTCACCCCAACCAGCATTAGTACTTCTACCAGCATTACTATCTCCCCACCAGCATACTCTCCTCCCCATTCCCTTCATCTTTTCCTTTCCCATCACTACTCCATTCTCACCCCCATCTCTCAGGCCACCACCATTAAAACCATTCCCAACCCAGCCCCCCACCCCACTACCACCACCAACACCCTACCTGCCATCTCGGTCCTCGCTTCTGCCCCTTGTTCTCCTCTCCCCTCCAGAGGTATTCCTAGCTCTCTCATCTTCCCTGCTGTATCCCTGTGCCTGTCACCATCACTACCACCACCATGGTCCCCACCATCTCCACCATTAATGAATGAACATTTATTGAGCACTGACAAGTTCCAGACACTCTACAGAACACAGAGAAGGCGTGGCCTCACCCCAGGGCCCCAGCCCCTCAGCAAAGCCACCATGTGGCTGACATGGCAGTATGTGCAGCCCAAGGTGTGGGTTGGGGCCGGGGGCTCAGCCGGGCAGCACACCTGGAAAGGGGTCCTCTGCCAGGCCCCAGTTGGGGGCAGAGGCCACGCCGCTTTCCTGAGAGCTGAGCAAATAAATAACGGTGAGGCGGGGGCAAGGGCAAAGCCTCTGTGGCTGGAGGGGCCCTGGCACCAGCTAATGTGACGACTCCATGGGAGTGAGACAGGCAGCCAGGAGCCCCAGCCCCAGGTGGGGAGGTGGAGCTGAGGGCAGAGGGTCCTGGGGTCTCTGCAGCATCTCTGCCTAGCCCTCCCCTCTTGGAGGGGGTGAGGCAGACACCCCCAGAGCAGCAGCTGAAATGCAGGTGGACTAGAAAAGGGCAGGCGGAGGAGATGGGGTGTGGCTGCAGGCGGGAGACCTCGGCATGCAGCCCCTAGAGGGGGGCGTTGTCAGTCCTCCACTTGCGGGGGTAACTCTGCTGGTGGCTGTCGCAGCTGGGGCTCCTCATGGTGTCAAGTGGCACCACCACCTCATCTGGGTTTGAGTTCTTATTCAGCTCCACCACGCGGGGTACCACCGAAGACCAACGATCTGTGCAGTGGGTGCAATGGAGGGAGGGTTGAGGGGGGTGCAGAGTGCATGCACATATTGAGCACCTACTGTGTACCAGGCACTCCACCGTGATCTAAAGGGAGGAGGGTATTATTATTCCCATTTTACAGAGGTGGAAACTGGGGCTCAGAGAGGGCAAGGCACCTGCCCAGGAGCACACAGGGAGTGCATGGAAGAACAAGGATCTGAACGACCTGAATGTCCATATCCTTTGTACTGCACCACCCTCATTTATGGCTTAGTAAGAAACAGAAGGCATTTCTCCACCACAAGAAGGCCGAGGACCCTGGCCTCCCCTCCGCCACTGCAGCTCCTATCCACAGAGATGAGCTATCCCAGCCATTCATAAGCATCCAAGGACACTTATCGGCCAGCCCATCAACCCACCCATTGTACAGACATGGACACTGAGTCCCAGAGAGGGGACAGGATTTCTCAAAGCAAGTTAGTGATAAGGATGGACCAGGGTTCCCCTCTGCACCCATCTCCCCACTCCACCCCACCCTCCCTTCTACTCACCCCTCCGGAGGCGGCCCACAGTGTGCGAGAAGCCGTAATACTGGTACGTCTCGTTCTTGCCAGGGTCCTCGTTAATGATGCCCAAGTTCTGGTTCCAGTGAGACCAGTTCACCTCGTCAACCCTGGCAAGGCCAGAGCAAAAGGTCAGGGGGCAGCCCACGCCGAGACAGGGTGCCCCTCGTACAACCCCAGGCACCCTCCCTGCTCCAGGCTCCCCAGCACACTTTTCTTCTTGGTGCTATTACTTCTTGTCATTGGGTTGTTGTCGTCAGTTGCTGTCGAGTCGATTGGGACTCATGACGACCCCATGTCTGCAGAGTAGAACTGTGCTCCATAGGATTTTCATGGCTGTGATCTTTCAGAAGCAGATCACCAGGCCTGTCTTCCGAGGCGCCTCTGGGTGGCTCTGAACCGCCAACTTTTTGGCTAGTAGTCAAGTGCTTAACTGTTCCTGCCACACAGAGACTCCCTGGTAAAGTCAGTTCTGGTCTCCTGGGCCCAAAACGACTCAGTATCATTTTCATTTTTTTTAATAGTTTTTTTGTATTTTCATATAACCTCCACTTTTTCAGCAATTGCTACACGTCAGCAAGGAAGGTAAAACGTTCACTATTCCCATCTTACAGATTAGGAAACTGAGGCTCCAAGGGGCTAAACTAATCGGCTAAGTTCACAAAGCTGGTAAATTACAAAGTCAGGATTGGACCCCAGCCTTGCCTGACTCAAACACTAGGCTTATACGCTACACCAGCAATCCGTTTACAACAAATGATTCGCCTTAACAACTTAAGTCACCACGGGATTCACCCAAGAAGCTGGCATCCCCCATGCATTTGGAAGATGGAGGCAGTCTGCAGAAGGCCCCTCAGACAGGCAGGGGAACACCCCAAGCCGTGGGAGCTGCTGATTGCTTGGTTTCCCCATATCAGCCGGGGCACTGAAGCCCAGCCAGTGTGTGGCTGATAGAAGGTGATGCTCTGACTGTGTTCTTTTAGGATCTATCTATATGAGATCAGCGTGACAACAGGAACTCAGAGGATTAGATAGGAACCTTAGGGAGCAGTGAGTTCATGTTAATGTGGGAGGAACAACTCAGAACGGGAGGGTGAGAATGGTTGCCCAACTCGAAGAATGTAATTCATGTCACTAGGTTGTACATGTAGAAACTGTTGAACTGGTGAATGTTCTGCTGTGTATATTCTCAACAACAAAAAAAATAAATTTAAAAAACAAAAAAGAATGTGATGTGCTGAGTCGAGTACCCTCCTCCGTGGCTCCGCCTCCCCTGAGCAAGGGGCAGAGGTTGAGTGGCTGCCGTTTTGGGTGTCCCGACATGCATCAGGCACTGGCCTATGAGGTGGTGCTATCATTGTCCCCATTCCATAGATGCAGAAACTGAGGCCGAAGAGAACGAACCTGTGCAAGATCACTTGGTGGAACTGAACTCCCGAAGTTGTAAATGGGTAGAATCATAAGCAGGAGCAGCAGGGGCCCCATTCACCCCGTTTGCCCCACAGTGGTCCTGCCTCATCCTCCCGCCCTACCTTACCTGAAGCACCACCGGCGGTCGGGAGTACCGTCCGAGCTCTTGCCCACGGTCACCATCTCTCCGGAGCGGAAGGCCTTCCTCAGGAACACCGGGAAGGAGCGCTCAATGTCCAGGATGGTGGTGGCCCACTGCAGGGAGAGGAGGGTCAGGGCGGGCCATCAGTGAGCCTCCCCCAACCCCACACCTACTGCCCGAATGGCGGATGGGCCGAGGTGGGCAGAGAACTAGGCCTTCGGCTCCTAATGCCCCTAGAAATAGGCACTTGGCAGAAAGACAAATGAGTGATGCAGAACGGATCAGATGTAAAAAGGCCACAGCCCAAGTCCCATAACACATACACAGCAGTCACCATTCGGTGTGGGGAATGCCAGGGAGGGGTGGGGACTGGGGCAAACCAGGAAGCAGATGCCCTGTGCAACAGGAGCCGTCTGCCTTTCAGTCCACCCGGTGGCCACCAGGCAGGAGTGTGGGCCCCGGATTGCTGGGGCTTCCAATTTTTCGAAAAAGGCCAGAAATCAGGATTTTTATCTGAAATCTCTTGACTTCTAAATTTTGCTTTAAAATTTTCAAAAGTATGGTGATCCAGAAAAAAAAACATCTGTGCTGGTCAAATCTAGTCCGCTGGCTGCCAGTTTGCATCATAGATTTACACTCAGTGGGGAAACTAGAAGGTGTTTTGGGTGGCACAAACGGTTATGCGCTTGGCTGCTAACTGAAGGGTTGGCGGTTCGAGTCTACCCACAGGTGCCTTGGAAGAAAGTTCTGGTGATCCACTTCTGAAAAGTCAGCCACTGAAAACCCTACAGAGCAGTTGTACTCTGACACACGTGGAGTTGCCATGAGTGGGAATCGATGCAACAGCAAGTGGTTTGGTTTTTTTGGCTTGGGGAAACTGAGGCACCGGCATTAACAAGGTATGGAACGAAGCTTAAGAGCGACTGTGGACCGTTTCCCTCTGTCCCAGACCTGGGAGACACAGCCCTTGGTTTTTTTTTTTTCATTGTACCATTTCTTTTAAATGCATTGAGTCAGAATGAACATGGCTGCTGCATCCCTGGACTCCTTTGTGAAACCTTGGTTTGTGGACGGCACTGGGCCTGGTAGGCCGTGGGTTGGCACATGGACCCTGAGGGGCTCTGCTCTCTAGGGCTGCATGGAGGCCTTTTGGGAAGCAAAGGCAGCAGCTCCCTGTGCTAATGTGGCCCGTGGCCACGTGGCTCCTCCTCTTGTCACTGACATACTCCCTGGGGGGGTGGAGCCTGGAAGTCACACCTGGGCTGGTAAGATTCCCTGATGAGGATGCTGGAGCCCTTGGGTGATGTAAACGGTTAATCACTTGACTACTAACTGAAAAGTTGGCAGTTTGAACCCACCCAGAGGCACCTTGGAAGAAAGGCCTGGTGATCTGCTACCTAAAGGTCACAGCCTTGAAAATCCTATGGAGTAGTTCTACTCCGCACCCCTGGGGTGGCCATGAGTCAGAATCCACCTAACAGCAACTGGTGGTGGTGGGTGAGGATGCTGAGGCTTCCCTGCACCCGGGTGGCCCATACCCACGCTGACCTTGTCTCCCATGCCACAGAAGGAGCCCTGTTGAAGGGTTCGTGCTCTCTGCCCAGCTGCACTTCTTGTCCCTACAGAGCTCATGTTACCTGGTGCTGGGAGAAGCCAACATAGCCCATGAGTGTGACTGTAAGGTGAACCTGAGCCCGTGGCTGGTAGCAGGCAAGCAGCTACCTTGACATTCACCAGGTGGCTCTGGGAAGGAGGCAGCGGCTTTTGGTGCCCATTTTACAGACAGAGAAATGGAGGCTGAACTAGATGGTGGTGAGGTGGGTCAGGCCGCCCCAGCTCCCCCATCTTGCAAGAAGGGGAGCTGGTGGGGTTGGGGCAGGGTGTCCAGCGGTCTCACCTGCAGCTTCCAGATGTGCTTGCTCTCCTTGGAGACCTGGCCCACCGTCTCCCCCATGAGGGCGATGAGCATGTTAAGGAGCAGCACGAAGGTGAGGATGATGTAGGTGACAAGCAGGATGATGAAGACCTCGGGGTACTTGGCGCTGCTCAGCATCTCCAGGTCGCCCATGCCGATGGTCAGCTTGAAGAGGTCCAGGAGGAAGGTGCTGAAGGTCTCGCTGTCGCGGCACGAGGGGTAGGTGGGCACCGAGCAGTTGGTCTGGTCCTGGTTGCACACCTTCATGTTGGCACAAGGGTTCAGGAGGGAGACCAGGGCTGTGGGAGGGGCGGGGGTGGAGCTCACTGAGTGGTGAAGAGGTGGAGAGCATCATTCCCATTTTATGGAGGGGAAAGCTGAGGCTTGGAGAGGCAAAGGCACTGGCCCAAGGTTACCCAGCTAGTAGGCAAGTCGAGAGGTGAACCCAGATCTTCCCGATCCCAACGCCCATGCTCTTTCCACAAACTTTTGCTGACAAGGAAGAAGTGTGCAGGATCTAGTCCAGTGGTTCTCAGCCAGGGGTAACCACCTACTCACCAGCCCCTAGGGACACGGGGCAATGTCTGGAGACGTTTTTGGTTGTCACCCCTGGGAGGGGAGATGCTACAGGCATCTAGTGGGTAGAGCTTAGACCCCACTGCCATCAGGTCAATTCCGACTCATGGCAACCCTACGGGGCAGAACGGTCCCATAAGGTTTCCCAGCTGGAATCTTTACGGAAGCAGACTGCCAGATCTTTCTCCCGTGGAACGGCTGGTGGGTTTGAACTGCTGACCTTTCCATTAGTAGCTGAGCATTTAGCCACTGTGCCACCAGGGCTCCTTGGGTAGAGCACTGGAGAAGCTGCTGAACATCTGTCTTAGTTATCTAGTGCTGCTGTAACAGAAATACTAGTGGATGGCTGTAACAAACAGAAATTTATTTTCTCACAGTTAGGAGACTAGACATCCGAATTCAGGGTGCTGGCTCTAGGGGAAGGCTGTCTCTGTCCGCTCTGGGGGGAAATCCTTGTCTCAGCTTCTGTAACCCTGGTGATCCTCAGTTCCTTAGTGATCTCCACGTGACACCTATCTTTCCCCCGTTTGTGCTTGCTTGCTTCTGTGCCAAATCTGTTGTTTTTCTATCTCAAAAGTGAGTAGGTATAAGACATACCTTACACGGATAGGGCCTCATTAACATAGCAAAGAAAATCTTATTCCCAAATGGGATTATATCCACAGGTATAGGGGTTATGATTCCAACACATATTTTGGGGGGACACAATTCAATCTGTAACAACATCCTACAACGCACAGGACAGCCCCCACAACCAAGAATGATCCAACATTGCCAAGGGTGAGAAACCCTGATCTAACCTATCATTTCCAGCATTCCCTGGGGCAGACTCTCTCTCATGCTCCTGTGTCCCATCCATACCTGGTCAGAGAGGAAGAGTGGAAGCGGAAACCAGGTATCAGTCCTGACTGTCCTTGAAGCCGTGGTCTCTAACAGTCTTGCCCCTTCAGACATCTCAAATTGATCGCAGAGCTCATCCCTTCCCACTAAACCCAGATAATCCTTCAGAGTCCTTCTCAACACAGTTTAGCAGCAACAACCTAACTCAAAACCAGCCAGGACAGGGAGCATAAGGAGGCTTAGGCCCTTTGGTCAGTGGGGTGTTGAATCATATTGCCTTCAACCAGAGGTGGTAAGCACGTTTCAACTCATATGCTTTGGTGTTGTTAGCTGCCTTCAAGTTGGCCCTGACTCATAGTGACTCCATGCACAACGGAACAAAACATAACATTGCCCAGTCCTGCACCATCCCCATGATCAGTTATGGTTCCGACCGTTGTGATTCATAGAGTTTTCACTGGCTGATTTTCAGAAGTAGATCACCAGGCCCTTCTTCCTAGTCCATCTTAGTTTGGAAGCTCTGCTGAAACCTATTCAGCATCATAGCAACATGCAAGGCTCCACTGACAGACAAGTGATGGCTGCACATGAAGTGCACTGGCTAGGAATCGAACCCACGTCTCCTGCATGGGAGGTGAGAAATCTACCACTGAACCACCAATGCCTCACTCATGCTAATGCTATTCAATTGTATAGTGGCCATTGAAACGTTATGTTGAAGGATTCTGAGACCTGGTCTGGATTCATCAGAAAAATTGTTCTGTGATCTATTAGCATGTCTGCCATGGATACAAAAATAGGGAATGGCAGCACTTGTGCCATGTTTGTTAAGTCAGCCTCAGATCCTGATCTAGTAGATCTAGCATACCCTGGCAAGAGAAACTCTGGGACCAAGCTGAGCCCTAAGTTGCTCCTTTGATTAACCCCTAGCTTCTTCCTCAGTTTCTATATTTACGACTACAGTCGGGCTAGACTCCTAACCTGGATCCCAATCTATTGTTGAGCCCTTGACACTCTGTCTAGTTCTTCCCAGCCCTGTTCCTGGGAGGGGGCAGCTGTGCCCTGCCCCCATCTCCCTAGCCAAAGCTAGAGACCCACTTCCTCCAAAATAGTCCCCACAGATTATTCCCTTAGCACCATCTGGGTTAAAATATCACCACCATCAGACTCCTGCTGCCTGTGCAGAATCCCAGATGAAGCTTCCCAAATGTGAACGTGGCCTGGTCAAGCCTGACTTGGCCACTCCCCTGTGGACACTGGGCATTGGATGGCAGATCACCCACCCTTGGGGATTAGTGCAATGTCTCGGTCACTTTCCCCATTCCTGCTCCTTCCTCCATGGCCTGTGTCACTGAGGCCCCAGCATGCCTCAGTTCGGCATCATGACATCATGGAGAAAGCATCCATGGAGGGAGCCGATACTGGGCTCACAAAAAGACCTGGGCTGGTAGATCAATTACAAAAATGGTCCCAATCTTTCACCCTGCCCTGTTTGCAATGCAGCTTTACCCTCGCAATGTGTGTTTCTCACCCTTTGAATCAGGGCTGGCCTTGCGACTTGCTTTGGCCAACAGAAGGAGGCAGAGGTGACACTGTGCCAGGCAGTGGCCTTGATCACTTCAGCTCATGTTCTTGGAACCCTAAGACCACCACGTGGACAAGCTCAAGCTAGCCAGCCGGAGGATGAGAACCATGTGGAAGAGAGCAAAGTTACCCCAAATGCGGCTGCCCTAGCTACACCAGTCAGCCCATGGAGCAGTGGTTAAGAGCTCAGGCTGCTTACCAAAAGGTTGGCTCCTTGGAAACAGCAGCTCCTTGGAAGCCCTTTGGGGCAGTTCTGCTCTGCCCTATAGGGTCGCTACAAGTCAGAAGTGACTTGACAGCAACGGGTTTGGTTTTTTTGTTTTTTTTTTTAAATAGCTAATATGCCCGCTTTACCATTCACTAGCTTTTGAACTTGGGTAAGTTATTTAACCTTTCTAAGCCTCAGTTTTCGTATCTGTACAAGGCGATAATAAAGGTACTTACCTCACAGGCTTGTTGGAAGGATCGAATGAGGCAGGGGTAAGAGAGAACTTAGCCCAGTGCCAGGCATACAGCGAGAGCTCAGCAAATGCTGGCTGTTATCATTAGCACATTACGGCGCCTGCCCCAGGCCTGCACCGCCCTCGCCAGTCCCACCTGGGCACCCAGACTCACCTGAGGCGTAGCCGATCATGAAGAGCAAGTAGACGAGCAGGAAGCGGAAAAGGTCTTTGAAGAGGATCTAAAGACCCCAGTGGGGTTTTGGAGGCCAAGATGAGACACGTGGTTTCTCATTCTCCCCACTCCTCCACCCCAAACTTTCTCCCCACGTCTACCCTTGTCCCCCCTCTACCCCCAAATTCCAGACCTGCCCGCTGCCACCATAGGGCCTCCAACCCTCAGGTCCACAGGTACCAGCTGTACAGTTCAGATGTACATGTGGTACATGTGGCTCCCTGCAGGGACACACAGGTCCAGAGGGTCCCCCGTCTGTACCTTCTGGATCATGATGCTATAGGTTCCTGTCAGCTTCAGCCCACGGGTGAAGTAGAGGGCGTTCATCCAGCCCAGGACCAGGGCAAAGACCATGACGGCCAAGTAGGCCTCAATCCCCGCCAGGTAGAGGGCGGCCGAGACAATCACCAGCACAGAATAGATGAAGCTACCGGGCAGCAAAGGCCACGAGGCGGGGCCAGAAGGGAGAGGGCACCATGAGGCCTTGGTCAGGGGGACATGCCCCCAAACCCTCCTGGGTACCAGGATGCCCTTTTAGATCCCCAGAAGAGAAACAAAGTAGATTATCTGGGTTATTTAGGAGTCTGTTAACCAAGACACTCAAATAACTGGCTATTAATAGTGTGTGTAATGGCCCTGAGGCCCTACAAGATCCCAAAGTGATACCCTTTGGAATTGCTGGAGAGAGATCCAGGTGTGTTCAGTGGAGATTTTGTGGTTAAATAAACTTCATTTTAAGGGAAACAGAAAGGATGCGGTGCACACGCGGCAACTCTCTTATCCTAGGCCCCAGGCAGACATCACTAATCAATCACAGCTCTCTTTCCCATTAAATGCAGACACAGCTTCGAGATTCTTCTCAACATGACACGGCAGACAGACATTAGCAATCAATCCCTGGCATACGATTTTAAACCTATTTCTATTGATGGTGTATTATGGTAACCCTCTAGCAGCCAGAATCTTGCTTTAACCAGAAGAACATTTTGCCTGGCCTTTGTCTTGTCCTGACTTTGGGTTACAGCTGCCCAGGTTCTCTCCTAATACAGTCACCTCCTGGTCCAATCAGGATGACCCATCAGCCCAACCCCACCTTCGTCATCCAGGAGCTGCTGGC